CAGGTGCAGTTTTTTCAAATGAGTACAGTACATGAGGAGGGGATAAAGTTTACCAGATGTTTTATGCTAAAGGAACAGAGAGCCATGGCTCAGGGAGGTGCTGGTTGGAGAAGTGCTTGCTGGCTTAGGTGGTCGGTACCATCATCAAACCTCCAAGAACTAAGTTGTCATACATATTTACACTTTTCTCGTGTGATTCGCAATCGATATTCTTTCAGTTGAAAATGCCACCTGATGTTGTCAGACCTGCAGTGTGCGCCCCACCAGAGTGTTTTTAATGTCAATCATGAGGTTATTAAGGCACAGAGCTTTATTTGCAGACAGTTTGCTATAGATTTCTGCTGACGTTAGAGTTTCTGCTTTAGTTAGTAATTCGCTTTGGCATTTTCCTTCCTTCTGAAAGCCCCTCATCGCAGGACAGACTACTTCCCCCTGTTTTTCCTGCAGCACTGAGCAGGTTGTTATAATTGTTACTTTACATTAATGCATATTGTCTTTTAATGTATTTTAAATCAAATATGGCACATTTCAACCCCATGGTACAGTTCACTGTTGTTTCATCATATCACCAGCTACAAATTGACGATGACACTGGATACATAAAGTAAAAAAAAAAAAAAAAAATCATACATAACCAACATGTTCTTATCTCAAGGAGTGATATAATGTTGTTTTGTCAGATGCCATAAATGTTTCCAGGTTAAAGATAAAATGTCCTTTGGTGACAGTGCCTTAATGCAATGGCCATAGTTAGTCCGTGAAAGTTAATAGTCTGGTTTTAGACACCTATGAAGTCTCTGTTAGGAGGCTGAAGGGGTGGAGGTGCATAAGTTGTAGTTTTGTCATGGAGGAGACCCTGGTTTGGTTCTTGTTTGAACTTATGCATCATGGTTTACCAAGTTGAAAACCAAAAAGCAGATTCAGAGAGCTTTAATTTTAACATAAATGTAAGCAGTCCAACAGAGAGCAGCGATTAGAGCACAGGGAGTCATCTGCTTATCTCGTAGAGATGAGTTCACAGACTGGAGAGAGCACTTTGGCAATGAGTAAATGGGCTCTTTTATGTGCAGGAGGTAATGAGTTGATGGGAAACAGGTACACCAACCTGCCGGTCAGCAAACAGGGGAGAGGACACACCTCTAGCTTGCTCGTGCACGGAATCCTACCAGGGACTGAGAGAGGCCATGGCACTTTGTGTTTTTCCTCTTTTAATTTTTGCTTTCACTCAGTTAGGTTTAAGCCCTAAAACTACTTGGTTGGCCTCCCTTTAAAATAGCAGCCTTGCTTGATGACGTTGGAAGTGACAGTTCTGTGTCACCAGTGCCATAACCCGGTGCATCGTGAGCTGCCACCAAAGGACACCTTGTGCATAAATGAGCCTCGGCTTTGACAAAACAGCGTTATCTGACACCCGACTAATGAGAATGGGCAGATGAAACAATAACATTTCAATAGATTGTATTTATTTTATGGTGACACATCCAGTCTCTTCTTCTCTTCTGTTTTCCTGTCCTTACCTAAGATTTGTACTAATAGTAAAACTATTTTTTAGAGCTACTGCAGCTCACTAAGACTGAGAGACCTTTATTTTATGTTAGTTTTATTTTTCTGCTACGTGAAGCCAAGGAGCTCCAGGTAATCCAGCTGGCTCTGATGAGAACTGCTAAAAGGTAGAAATAACAGATATTTATCAGCAGCAGTGCTGGTTAGGAGGGTGACATGTTTTTAACTCTAGATAAGGTTTAGGGGAAAAAAACATGTTACACTCTTTTGAGTTATTATTATAAAAAAAAAAATTAGCATGGAGGATTTCTATTTTCAACTCATTCCTGTGTTTTGAACTGTCCGATGACTTTGATATTTTGTCCGATGCTGTGTGATCGTTCCTCATTGTCGACTTTTCTGAATCCATGCTCATCAGGCATATCATCTGTGAGCCAGTGCTACAGGCAGCTCAGAGTAAAAGATTTTTACATACTGCTGAATTTGCATATATTGCCACACATTTTTGCCATAAATCGCCATGAACATCTTCACCACTTTGTCAGTTTCATGACTGCTAATGATGTGTTTTTAATGGTTTACAATTGGTGAGCTCCCGTTGCCCACCCTCTGCTATTAACGGTATGGATGTTGACCTCTGTGGCCCTTGTATCATGTTTCCTGTAACCCTTGATGAAACGTAGATGTTCCTGTCATGGCTTTTTCATTGAGATACTGAAAAATGCTACTGTAAATGTTCTAAGTTGAATGCACTGTGTGTTTAAAAAAAAAAATTGTAATGGATCAATGATCAGGAAATGACTCCATAAAAAGACAATATAGTATATAGTGTAACTATAGTGAAATGGTTATATGATGCATTTTTGGAATTTTATTTATTTCATACTTGGTCATGTTTCAGATGATGATCGATTATGATTTTAACTGGTATGGTGTTGTAATGTAGCCATTAAATTTTGCAAGGAATGGTTTAATGGTTAAGGTCGCTTGTACATACACTTGGCCCATATAAAGTATAAACCTTAACATTTATGTTGTAGCATGGTAACTGTGTGTCTGGAAGAAAACAAGTGGATCATTGATCTCATTTGCTCTTGGTGAATAAATGTTCCTCAACATTTTGACTCGGGTTTTTATCAAATTAAGTTACATACAGGTTTTTTGTTTTGACACGGATTTCAGATATTTACAGTAGTAGTAATGATATTACTCAGGTAATGTTTTAAGCTGAATAACCAACAAGTTAATGTCAAGTCTTGAACCAACCTTCATTTCTTTATATTTTGTTTCCAGGGAGCCAGATTTGTAATTTTTTAAGAGGTCTTGAGTGATAGTTGTCTGGACTTTTGAAGGTATGGCTGCTTTTTCACCAATTTTTCCGTCCAGTCGGTGTATATGTACGGAGCCCCGCAGGGGACATGGGAGGAAAAAAAATGAAGACTGACTTTGCGAGATCCCGAGTTCGTTTTGTGAGATCTCGCAAAAGTCCGTCTTAATTTTTTTTCTCCCATGTCCCCTGCGGGGCTCCTTATATATGACCATTTTCAGAGGATTTTTTTTTTTTTTTTAAACCTGATACAGGACATGAGAGATGCATCTACTTGGCCACTGGCCCATCTAGCCTCATCAGAAATAGTGTCAGTGGAAGGAAAACAAGAAGAAAAAGCTCAAGTATGCCAAACTGGAGTGAAAATCAGCAGCAGCAGGTCTTATGGAGCAATGAAATCAAAAAATCTTTGGCCCAGTTCATTGTCATTTCTTTATGAAGGCGGTCAGGAAAGAGGTACAGCTGTGAGTGTCTACAGCCAACTGTAAACTCTGCACGATCAGTTTGGAGCTGCATTTCAGCTGGCGGTGTCTTGTTGGTTTTTCACAGTTGCTGTAACATATGAAAGTACTGTCAAATTTTCAATCACCATGCAGAAAAGTAAGGATCTAAATGACAATAACTAAATAAATGTCATATTAAAAAATAAGAAGCATGAACACTGTTGAAATCCTTTACACCAATTTGTCTTTAAAATTATTATTATATTATTACTTTTAATTTAAAATATACTGCACATATATAAAAAGAATAATAAAAAAATTTAATAATTAATTTTGACAATGAAATGCTAATGCTAAATGCTAACATAACAGCTGTCAGTTATTACATTTTTGTTCACATGTGAAGGTATTTGTTAGATAAACAAATGTATCTAACTGTAATTAAAAATCAATTTTTTTTTAAGCAAAAGGATATTAATTAAAAAAAACAAAGTAATCTGACTTCCAAATAAATCATCCCTTACCTTCATAGTGTGGTGGATTGTTTAGCCAGCAGATGGAGACAAGTCATTCTTCCAACTTACCTCAGGATCCTTGTACTAAAACATCTCTCAACTGTTCAAACTAGCAATTTGATTTGATTTGAAACTTTGATTTCATGTACATGAGTATAGATTTTATTTGTGATTTTACCCTTGTTTTTTGAAGCTATACTGTGCAGGGGATAAGGCTAGATGCAGCATGTTTTTAGTTAAACTAATTTAAAGGACAAAGTAGGCATATGTGAACATCTTGCTCCTCTTCTTTGCATGGGTTTTAATCTGCATGTGTGGGTGGCCTGGTCAACCATGTTCACAGACAATGATTTCCTTAATAGAATTATACCTGTTTTAATGCAGTTCCACCTGTGGGCCTGAAGATCTCTGAATCTTTTGATGATATCATGAAGGGTAAATGGAAATATATTTAAAGTCTTCACAATTTTATGTTGAGGAATATTATCAAAATTGTTCCACAATTTGCAGATGCAGCTTTTGCAGACTGATGATCTTTTTGAGATCATCTGACTGATGAAATGAGTTAAATATGAGCTACTATTTTTCTTAAAATGAAGCATTGTCTCAGTTTAAATATTTTATATCGTCCTGAGAACCAAGGGAAAAAAATATATATTTCAGTTTAGCTGTTGTCCACTACAATGAATAGGCTGGCTCTCAGGAGGATATGCTTTCTATGATCTGTTGATAACATATGGGTTTATGACATTTACACAATGACACAAGTTATTTTAGAATTGGGGATGTATATTATTGTACAACATAAGTACTAATAATTATCTTTCTCTTTTGTTGTTTTAAGTATGTTTTGATGGTTAAACCTTTAACTTCAGTTAAAAAACTCTAAATACTTGTGTCACCAATTTGCAAGACAACGTTCAATGCTACTTTATGTAATAAAGTCGTATTAGATAGGACACTTCTTTTTCCTTTGCGTGAGTTTTAAGGAAGGTTTAATTGTGCTATAGGTTTCTTTAAAAAAAAATCCTGCTCGTGGTCATCATTGTTCCTGTGGTGTGTATGTGTGTGGGTGTAAGCCCATTAACAGCCTCGGTGATCCTGGCTGCCTGCCTCCTGCTGAGCTCAGTGGGGACAGTTGGCAGCAGCTAGCCAGTCAAACACTTGCGAGGTGAAACTGGCAGCAATGAGCAGACAAGGTAAGACCGTCTCGCCATGTCTGTATGGGACCATGTGTGAAATTAGCACCGACATGGATTTACTTTAAAGGTTCATGTTATCAGCTAACAGCAACAAATGTGCAACAGGTGAGGTTAGCTGTTAGCAGAGCAGCTACTTATTAGCTAGTTTTTTGTACAGGAAGAGGGGGAGGAGAGTTCAGCACTGAGGACAGCTCCAGTGTCTGTTTATATATGTCTACAAAAAGTGTTAAAAGTATGCAGAAGTTTCATATGTATCTATAAAAGGCTTTTCTGTGGCTTTTTGTACATAACATCTATATTAGCTATATCGTTAGCTGTGTATATGCTATACTGTGTATCTATACCTACATTTGGTGTATTTTGTTGTTGTTTTATGCATTTTAAAGGCATTTCTAAGTTAGATGAGGTTCTGAAGGCTAATGATATTTATGTCTGGTGAGTGCTATGTATTTATCTGTACAAATAAACAGGAACTAAACAGTTATGTAATAGGTGTTTCCATTTTACATGGCTTTATCTTATAGTTCATTGCCCTCATTGTTCGTGATGGGTTTTTTTATTCTCACTGAATATGTTCTCTTAGGTGTTTTTAATTAAATGTGAACTCTTCATCCAGTGCGCATTTTGTTGTTAATTTGCATGTTTTTCAAAGGCCTGTCTACTTCACAATCAAAGCACTAAATACTATGGTTTGTAGATTTGGTTAATGCAGCATACCTTTTCTATTAAAACATATATTAAATCAGATACAAATACATTATATATATAAGAGCCAGCTAAGTTAACCTGGGCTTCAGTTACACCACAATAGCCAATATTTTGTTAATAAAATAGTCAAAGGTAACAGGAAAGTATCTATATGATTTTTTTAATTTATCTGGTCTTTTCCTCTTTGCTGTTTCTAAGGTTATGGTGGAGCTTCTGTTCACTTCTCTCCGAGCATACTGGGAAATGGATCTTCACCCACAGATCTTACAGAGGAGGACTTAGATGCTCTACGTTTTGAACTTACAAAAGTAAAGTTATTCATGGGGGTATTTGGGACAATGTGGGATAGAAACCCTGCTCTAAAGAAAAATTGCTATGTGTAACATCAGCTTTTTCTTTTCTTTCTCGCAGACAGAGGATGAAATTCAGGCCTTGAGGCAGGTGCTTTTGGCCAAAGAACAATACGCAGCAGACATCAGAAGGCAACTAGGAATGAGTCCGCTCGGTAACATCAAACAGAGCATATCCAAAGGATGGCAAGAGGTCCAGACCTCAGCCCCGTATGTGCACTTTGGTCCCCATAAACATAATAATGTTTGCTAATTGTTTGAAAACTATTGATAGTTTAACTGATTGAAAACACCTAAACCACTGTCGTGATAGATCGCTTACCACACATATCTTAGTGCACTTTTGTTACGTAACCATGGAAAGTACTCTAATGACTGTCGTAGGCTCTCTATTGTGTCAGCGCAATAATCTGTCAACCTGTGCATGTTCTGTCCATTCAGATATCTCACAGCCTCTGCAACTCTGGATGACATCAGCCACTCCAGTGTGTGAGTGTTCCTCATTATATGCACAAAATAATAAACGTTCTTACTATGTTTTATGACGCAGGGATTTTCCAAAGTTTTGTCCTGCACTCACATGCTAAAGAGGGATCTCTTCAAAGAAACAAGGGATGGGATTTTCCTTGTCAAATAGGATTGGTGCCCCGTTAATAGCCTCACAGCCTGACTTAGCACAAGGAGCAGCAGTATTAACGGGAAACAGGAGGACCAGCCTGAAGCGTTCATTAGAGACAGAGTGAGAGATCTGCTTCAGCCAGATGGACTGTCGCCAGTGACGTCTATGAGCTTATTGTTAACGACGTCTGAGTTAATACCTTTGTGCTCCCTGTATGCACCTGCCTGTTATGTAATATATTACAATAGCGAGAGACTTTTCTTAATTCAGATCCTGACTTCTACTGCTAATTTCTCCTTGTAGATATGTGAGGACACGGGACAGTCTCTCTCATGCAGGCCAGGTGACATCTGCTGCAATGTCTAGTGTGGGCGTGGTCATCACCAGGAGACTGGCACAGATGAGGTACACCCATAGTCAGTTCCTCCACTCAATCTTCATAATAAAAGGCTTTTTTTTAAAAAACTTTTTTAATTAGCTTTGTTCAAAAATGACTCAGTAGTGAGTAAAAAGTAATAGGATAAATGTCGTTAAGATTGTACTTCCTTTAAGTTCCCTTTAGCTTAAAAATCAAATGCCAGGCTTTTCTTGCACATAATGAAAGAGGACTAAGAGTTCACAGTGCAAAGGCTATCATAGGGGTGTTGGAAAAGCTGTCTTTGGCTAGTTCAGCTGGACAGATGGATGGATAGGAGGCCAACAGAGAGGCATGACAAGTGGACAGCATGTCGAAAGGGTGATTTGAAGTGTAAACTGTGGCTTTTTCTTTCAGCTGCTCCCTTATTCACGAGATGTCACCACAGCGGGTGGCTCTGCATATTTGATTTGGCAGATTTACATGTTAGAAAACACTATCAAAGACTGCAAGTTACAAGCATTGCAATTAGGTGTTGAGAGGAGGCAAATGCAGGACACTGAGGCAGACATAGTGAACAGAAAAACAAGTCTTACTCTGATTGTGCAGAAACACAAAATCATAGTAATAATAATAACTTTATTTGTATAGCACTTTTCAAAACACAGGGTAAAACTCGAGAGGAAACACAGGAGAGCAAACAGGAGAATGAAAAATAAGTGGGAAATGATGGACATGTGAAACAAATAAAACACAGCTAAAAACAATCAAAGCAATAAATAAAAGTAGGACTGGAAAATAAAATATAACTGATATTAAAAGGCATAAAAAAAGATCAACACTAACATGAAACATGGAATTAGGCCCCTAATGTAGATCAACAGGAGATAGAATGAGTTGAACCAAAGGCAACCCACTCAGTCACACCAATATGCCAAAAGTCCAAAACAAAATTGATTGTTAAAGTGGCAAAATCGTGCCGCGGGCATACACAACCCGAAATACACAAGGAAATAGGACACAATGGGGTAACGAGATGAAGGTGAAGATAATCAAAGACACTTGAGAAAAGTAATTCTACAAAATTAAAAAAGTAAGTGAGACCTGTTTCGGAAACATGATATACAGGAGTTCACACAAGAGAATGGGAGAGGAAAGATACAGGGAATAAAATAAACACTAATACAAACTGAAACTATGAGCCCAAAGATAGGTTAAGGGCTCCTTAATTTGTGATTATGTTAGTTTTATTTCTGTATTTACATCCTAACTCTCGCATTAGGATTCACTATTCTGTCTTAGTTTAGAGTTTAATGTTGCACAACTGAAACAGCTTGTATAATTTCACATCCGACATCGGTACTGATAATGTTAAGCGCACGTGTAAAGTTTCAAATTATGGTACCGAGTACTGACTGAACAGACTCAGACGGAAGCAATCCTTATACATGCTGCTAACGTGTAATCCTGCATTAGTCACAATTATAGCTACTCTAAACTCCACAGGAAAAAAACATCAATACTAACAAAATCCTTCACTGTCGTAACCCCTAGAATTTGCTTTCATAACCATCCTTTCAAAAATGACAAGGATTTCTTCTGATACTAACATTTCCATTTGAGTCTGTCAGATTTTTAGAAATTCAATAAAAATAGCTGATTGTTAACAGGTTAATGTCAGTTAGACCTTCACTAATCCGGGAGTCTTTCATCAGTTATCTTACAAGTCTCTGGGTGCAGTAGGGAGTATGTCATGGTTTCATGGTGGTTTCATTTATGAGTAAATTGTATTTTATATCCAAATACCTTTTAATGGCTCTATATGTCTTTCTTATTTATTTTCCTTCATCAGTGGCAGATATTCAAAAATCTTATAATTGTATTAATTATCATTTTAATGCAAAAAATAGTCAAAAATACAAATTATATAAACAAAATTACATTTGCATTTTTATTTCTTACCAGATCAATTTTCCTTGTTTTATCAATGCTAGAAGAAGATTAAAACTTTTAAAGTGATGGTATGTTTGAGTGAGGTATGTCTTTACAGTGTGCTGGTACTGGTTTAAAACCCAGATTAGATGAACAAGAGATTGCTTGAGGGATTCTAGTCAGGGTGGGTCTTTTTCATCCTTTGCTACTTCCAAACTTATTTTTCCAACAGAATTTCTACAAACATCTTGTTTTTGAAAGATTTATGCAGAAAAATTCCAAACCAAAGCTTCTCCAGCAGTAGATCTTAAAATTCAAGGTCTGGTAACCGTGGCTCAATGCAAAATAGTTACAATACATTCAAAGCCTGTAATGTTAAAAAAAATACATATAATAATTATATATTATGACCCCATACCACAGCACTGGGCCAGTTCCTGAAGAAAACTATTAAAAGATGTCAAATAAGTAGATTTAGAACTTCCTGACAGGCTCGAAATTTTGGTTGAAGTGCCTCTTGTGTTTATGTTCAACCACTAAACAGCTGTAATCCAATCACCGTGGAGCACCTGGCCATCAGCAGCAGTAGCTGTTGTTGTAATCCTTGTGGAAACAGAAGCTGATGTGATGTTATCTGTGTCTGTCTGTTTATCTTCATGCTGCAAACTCAACAGAGCTCTGCCTCTTCCAAGCCCACCACGGTAAGATCTGTGAGCGGTAAGACTGAAGTGAGCTGCATGAGAGGGTGTGACCTAAAAAGAATAAAGAAAGAAAAGTGGAAAGTGGTGATTTAGAGTGTTAGAACATCACACATTTCACATCATGCAGTCACTGAAATGGAACTGAAATAATCAGCGTGATTTAAAGAAGATGTTAAATTGTTTTGGGGTTTTCTTCATTTCTATCTTTTTAGATCCAGATGTTTGACATGTCAAGTGTTTTTTAAACAAAAACTTATTTTTCACCTTTTTTCTCTCAATTTTTTGACTAATTCAAGAATTTTGAGAACAAGACTTAAATTAATTTATAGTTCAATAAGGAGAAATTGTTTGAAAGAAAAGAACAAATTTGTTGCATGTAAAATGTAAGCATTTCTAGCAGTTATTCTATGATAAGAGGCAAAATCATGGAGCAGATTCCCAGATAAAGGAGACCGTAACTTCACCACCCAGTGTCTAGGCCAGAGGTCTGGAGCCTGTGGATCTGTTGCCCAGCTTTAGCAACTCCCTGTGATTTTGACAGAAAAATAAATAGTATAAAATAATTAATATACTGTTATAAAAATGTGTAATATGTGCCTACATCTAGATATCAACTGGTGCCGTATCTGGTTAATTTTGCTGAACATCAGTAGCAGTGGTTTCCATGAATGCAGACACATAAACACCTCATCATTTTCAAAATGTGCTCCAGCTTCCTTCCCATTTCCTAACGAGTCACCACAGGAGAAGAATCAGCATGCTTGTGATGCCCCAGAGGCTGGGTTTGGATCCTCTACTAGTCTTAAGCCAGAGATCTTTAATATAAGGTCAATCCTCTACACCATGGAGCCACTGAGCTACTGACTCCAAAAATGTGTCGTGGACAGATTTGTTTGCTTTCACTGCCCACGCTGATGTTTTACCATTATACTTCATCTACAGCTGGGCTTTCAAATTAAACTTCTTTTTTATTTTTAAAGTTTTTGAAAGCTATTAATCTGCTATATGTTAAACTTTCTATTATCAAAGTGGACTCCATAGTGCTGTAGCCATCACAATGATGGCCTAAACATGCATTTCTCCCTTCAGATATTTTTTTAGTTGTGTTACACAGATTAAGATTTGTGTAAAACCCTTTCCACACAATCAAGAGCCGAGCAATAAAAGTGCTTTTTATCTATATAAGATATGACATCATCATATTGGCCAGCAACCGCCTACAAACAGGCTAAAATTTCCCACTGGCATCTATGAGCCTGCAAAACTTTATGAAAACATAATCTGATTTTAATTCCATGACGCTAACATCTAATTAATCCCACAAGAGTTGAATTATTCATGATTATATTATTACATATATTATCACAGATAGATCTTCCTTTCTGAACTAATCTGAAACTGTTATTATAAACGTTTTAACCCTTATTGTACAAATCTACAAAATCTGCAGCAAAATAAAATGTATTTATTTATTTTTTGTAATTTTAAGGCTTATTTGTCTTTTTTAATGCTTAAATGTCCTGCTTTCTGTTTCCCAGCACACTGAGCCACACCATAAGTGTGCCGAGTATGAGGTAAAACACCATGTCTCTTTGTCTCTTTAGATCTTTTCATATATGCATGGCTTAGACATTAACTTTGCTCATCTTTTAATATGTCCTTTGTCTTTCCTCAGGCATTCCTCTACATTCAGATCTTTTGAGGAAATGGTTGGCAATATGAAGGTAAACAGCAGGAAGGTGGATAAAACAGTTAGCTCTGTGCTTCTTGTTTTGAATACTGTCACTTGTTTCATAGGATAAGGTGACTGGCAGCACGTCAACTAATGGAAACACGTCCGGGTTTGAAAGAAGATCCCATCGCCACAGTCAATGAGGAAAAACCAGTCTAATGTCAATAATTATTTTCATGACTTCTAAAGCTATAAAAGAAAATAATTTTGCTCCCTGTCTGTATGAATTTGTTTTTTGACTGTAATCTAAAACCGATTGTCTGATAGAATATGTTAAATTTTTAACTTAAGCTCATTTTGACATAAAACATTTTTAATATTCAATACTCAGTTTCATGGATGTAATTTATTTTGACATGTGTGTGCAGAGACTCATGCAGAAATCAGCTGTAATTTAAATTATAAGTATTTTTGTAATTGAACATTTTTCAATTAAAGTTAATAGAATGGTGTGCAGTCTTTTGAAATGGATGTTAAAATACATTGTCCATATTGTTTGATCACGGACAATATAAAACGATTTCACTTCATAGGTATGAACCTCTAGGTGGTGCAAGAGATACACAAGGGGTGTCAAGGCCATTTTAATTCTAGGGTCTCATACATCCTCATAGATGGAAATCAAGTGGGACAGACTTTGTTTTAGAAACTATTAAAACTTTAATCTTATATTTCTAATAACATAAAAAAGTTAAATTATATTTATTATCTGCAATTTTCACACTTAGCAAATTTATTGATACACCTATGCTGCCTACCTACTTTGTGTCCATTCTACTTTACTTAATCAGCCTTTAGCTAAAAGCTGCAATCCCAAAAATGAAATCCTACAGAGAAGGACCCAATATTTATAGATCATTTATCATTTATAGATCAAAAGGTTATTATAAATATGTATACCTGGCTTATCATAACGGAACATTTATTAAAGTGTTGAAAATAAAAAGCCATAAAAGTGACAACCACGAATGTTAGCAAGCCTTAATGACATTAACCAAAAGCTTTATTGACTGACCAATGCATTTTCGGCTTGTGGCCTTCATCAGGGCCACAGTAACACATAATAGAAGTTTGCTTAAATAAAAGGCAGGAAACAGAAAAAAAATCAAATTAACCAATCACGTCTTCATAGAAAAACCATCTTAAAATAATACATGTATGAAATACATAAGAAAAATATTACAAATATACAAAAAAACTATAAAATGATTACAAAGGAAAGTATTTCATGAAAAAAGGAGTCAGTGCAGCAGTTAGATTAAAAAACAAGAGTACATCATAACATGGAACCACATTTGTGGTAAGGTCCATGTAAAATCTCTAAAATATAAACTTAAAATGTAGACTTAAAACGAGATGTCTAAGCTACTCTTTCTTTTGTTGATGAATAAATAAACATTACCCATGCGAGAATAATTGACAAAACAAAGTAACTGGTAAAAAAGAATAAAAACAGTAAAAAGGGTACAGTTCACAAAATCTCATTGATAGAAAAATCCTCATTCATACCTCTAGGGTGCAGACTCTATCCAAAATGCTTGTCTTTTTTCCTGATAAAATTAATGTTACCACCTCTTTGGTTTAATTTAATGGCTTCAATGCCTAGAAAGAATAAAGGTGAATTTGGATGTTTATCATTGAAGTGTCTTGCAACAGGGCTGGTTAGATCATTCCTCTTGATTGAACTTCTGTCTTCATTAATTTGATCTTTCAGAGGGCGGGATGTTTCTCCTATATATTTTATTGCATGGGCACTGTATCATGTAAATTACATTTTTAGTTCTGCATGTGATAAAGCACTTAATGGCAGTGGTTTTGTCACTTATGGGATCTTTAAATTATTTAACATTTTTGATATATTGAAAATTTATGCATTACCCACATATGAAATTAACTTGTAGGTTATGGCTTATTAGGGTTTTATCTGGAGTATTAGGGTCCTGGGAAGCTCTTACAAGCCTACCTTTAATAATTCTCCCTCTCCTATAGGTTATCATTGGTGGTTCTCTAAAGGTCCCTAATAAGTTTGGATCATTTTGAAGGATATGCCAGTGTTTTAAAATTATTTCTTTAATGTTCCTGGTTTTTGGTGCAAAGGTTGTACAAAAGACAAGTTTAGGTTTAAGTTTTGGAGATTTCTTACTTGCTAAATAGAAATCCCTGCTTATTGAATTCACCTACTCTTCTGCAGATCTTAACCTGTCCTCTTTGTAGGCTACTATCTTTCTTTAAATTTGTTCAACATCTTTTCTTTGCTCTTATTATATTCATCCGGAATTCACAGATATGTTTGAGTCTAATCAGTTGGCTTACAGGGATGCTTAACCAATTAACCAATACTAACCTGTTTTAAGTCAGCTGGTTTATCTATGAAGACATGATTGGTTAATTTTAATTTTTTTCTGTTTCCTGCCTTTTATTTAAGCACACTTCTACTATGTGTTACTGTGACCCTGTTGAAGGACACAAGCCGAAACGCGTTAGTCAGTCAATAAAGTTGTTTCTCTTCCCTTGAAGTGTTGCTGGAGTCCCTGCATTGTGAATTTTTTCATCCTCCCCACGCACCTTGTAAGCATGTGAAGTTGTGCCAGAAATGTTCGCTGTGATTAACTAAAAGCTCAAAATGTCTTGTTCCCTGACCGGGAATCGAACCCGGGCCGCGGCGGTGAGAGCGCCGAATCCTAACCACTAGACCACCAGGGAGCGATAGTCATTTTTGCGAATCCTGACCCTTTAAAAGAGACCTTCAGCTTTACGAACTCAAAGAAATGCTGTTTTTAACTGAGACAGAATAATGCTGCATTGTTGTCTCATGTGGTTTCCAGTACGGGAAGGGTAATAATTTCGGTTACCATCTCTACTTAGATACATGCTCTGAGTTAAGAAATTTATGAATGAGTCTTTACAAACGAACTGCTTTTACAATGCCTTTCAGCTCAACGTAAGGCCGAAAAACCCTTTAAAAACCACTCGTCCGCTACCTTGTTACTAACTCAAATTTCACCTGTTATTGAAAACGGCTTGGCACTGTCTGCCTGTTCCCATTTCACCTCTAAACTGGCTGGCTAATGTGGATTATCCCACGAGTCTGTGCCAGCAGCAGGTTAACATAAGCCGCTCCAAGCCTGCTTCTCCTTCTCCTCAGTCTGGTGTCACCGATTACAAGGTTCCGCACGTTCAGTGGCCTCGAGCTACCACAGGCCACACCCCGTGGTTCCACAGTGGCACGTGCCAAACCCAGCTTGTATAAAATGGCCCTCGGTGACTCTGCGTGAACCAGAAGCGCAGCAGTAGTGACCGACGAGGTCATCACCGATAGTTCCTTTACAAATGGGCCATAGAAACAACTAGTACCTTTTCTAGTTCCAGCCATCCGCACCTTACAACCGCACCTGGTGACAACGACACCACCCCACTCTTGCAGGTAAGTCCAAATAACATCACTAGAAAAGCGTTAAAATATCAGCAGCTAATTATTTGTATGTTTAATTGTAACCTTGATATGTAAACTTAGTGAAAACAAAAAATGTTAATTGAAAAATATAGAATATTAGTTCATTATTTGTAAGTTAAAGGTGGTGTTCTCCAAGTCTTTTCAAGTTGCCTACAAACCATCTCACGTCACTGGACAGGCACATTTTTATTCTAATTACCCGAGAGCACACTCTGGCTTTCTCTGTGTAAAAAGCAACACAAATATAATGGCCATTAATGCACCAAAGTGAAAAGGAAAAACAAACTAAACTATTGTTAAAGGTATACCCGCTTACCGCAGAAGGCTGTGAAGGTCACAGTTACACAAACACTTTTGTGGTATTTTTTAATGTAAATCTGTATCTCGTGCATTTTTGTCTACAAATGCAGTAAATATTAAAGAAGGCAGGTGAAACTGCCTTCTGGACTGCTGGTGTATCTGTGCGTCAGCTCAGATGTTAATCTGGGTTATCAGGTGCAGACCTGTACCTGCTTCATGAAATCCCTACAGCCATCTGCTGCTCACCTGGTATTAAGCTCTACAGCCTTCAGCTGGTTCTCTGAGCTGTTAATACGTGTTTTTCAAAAGGAGTCATTTTAAATAAATAAATGTAAAACTACAAATATTATTACTATACTATATTTAGTAATTAACTACCACTAATAGTAAGTTCATTTGGTGGAATAAAACAAACAGAAACAAAAATGCACTTACAAAATAAACTTAATTGCGAAGAAATATCATTAGTTAGCCTGCAGATGCTTATTGTGACTGAGCTGCCTCAATCAATGGGAAAGTGTTGCATTTGTCATAATATAATAGTACTTTTACAAAGTTAAACCTTTTAAAGCACTAAAAATGAACTGAAACCAGTAACAGTATGCTGACCTGGCATCTAAAAATAAAAGTTAAATAAATATATATAAAATTAATATAGGAAGCTATAATAAGTCTGGATGCAGGCCTCTGTTGTGACCTAACAGAACAACCTGATTTTTCTGTGTCAGTGGTCACGCAGCCAGCTCATGCTGACATGTCCTCACACACGTTTTGGTTATTTGAGTCATGGGAAACCATACTCCCTGAAGCAGCTGTTTCTGTTTTAGCACTCTGCACTCGAGGCCCTTAAACTAAGCACAGAGGGAAACGTGCAGCACAGATGTGCAGTATCTCTGTGGTACAACATGAAGGGAATAAAATTATAAATAAACTTTTTTTTTTTCTGTGTTTGCCTTTAGGTTACCATTTTCCATCTTTGAGCGGTTTTCCACCTAAGGTCGGCAACAATGGCAGCAATTCCATCAAGTGGCTCCCTTATCGCCACCCATGATTATTACAGAAGTGAGTCCCATGTGGTTTATGTACATTTCATTTTTGTGTAAGTTTATTTTTTCTATTAATTTTTTCTTCTAGAATAAGACTTGAATAAAAAGCCAAACTGTGTTTTCTCCAGGGCGCATCGGGTCCACATCGAGTAACAGCTCTTGCAGCAGTGCTGAGTACACAGGAGAGGCCATTCCACACCATCCAGGTATTCAGCATGACCTGATTTTATATGCAAAATTTTTAAAAAGGAAAATCTTCCTCTCTCCGCATCAGATAACGTTCAGTTTTGCTCCTTGCAGCACTTCCACGGCAAGACTCTGACCACTGGTGGACTTCGTTTTTCTTTGCTAAACAGAACCAGCCCGGCATGCAGAACAGCTCTGAAAATCAAAAGTGAGCATTGTAATATTTGTGGAAGGCAGTTACCTTTGATTTTTTTTTCCTTGTAGTTGTTGGTTTTTAAACTGTGGCTTTTTCTGTGTTGCAGGAACAGTACCTACACAGTGGCCAATGGCCAGGTGACCTGCATCGCCAGGCAAATGGTGCTGAACAGACAGGTCAGCGAGAGCAGTGAAAACGGGAAGTCTGAACCAATGAGCCCTCCTCCAGTTACCCCATTCGCACCTTACTCACCCTCAGCTTGACCGTCTATCCCCATAGTCCAAGCAATGGAGATGGAGATGACGATGGTGATGGCAACGAGGGTGTTTTTTCTAACTTTTAGTCGGTAGAGTTTGCTTTTCCTGTTTGCCTGTATAAATTATTACATTTTTGTTATGACCAAAAGTAAAAAAAACAAACAAACAAACAAACAATGTTTTTTCATATAGTTCTTCTTATGACTTGACAGTGTTATCATTAATACTATTACCAGTACTACTAATAAAATGCTTACAGTGAGCACTTGTGTGTCGCATTTTCTTTCTGTTATTGACATTTACAGACTGGTTGTCAAAAGAAACTGAGCTTTTATTTAGGAAACATTATGACAAATCCTCAGATTTGCAGCGGTTCATGGGATGTTTTTCTGTAGGGGGAGAGAGAGGCGCGCTGCTTACCAAGCAACCTTAATCTCTTTAACTTCGTTATGATTATAAATGATTATTACAAGGGGTATTACAGTTTATATAACACTTCACCTTAGCTTGAATGTGGGTCACCAAGCTCCTGGAAGACACACTGCTGCAGAGAGTAAAAGTTAGGACAGTCGGGCATGATTAACAGTTAAATAAAAATGCAGCGGGTTTATTCATGTTTTGTTCTGTAGATGCATAAATTCACTGAAAACAAATCACTGTTTAGACACCTACTACAGCAGCCATGCACCCGCTGCTGTTTGCCACCATAAAACCCACTCAGCATGAATGTAAAGCACTCCTATTAAAGCTCATGCTGCCATTGTTTTCAGAGACGGGCACATTATTGTAAAATATTCAAGCTGTTCATTCTCTAAATGCTGCAACCGGAGAGATTTTAAAGCTCCCCTGTGATCCTTTAAGACTTAAAATTCTACATGTGTTCTCAGTTTGTGAATAAATGTTGATTTCGTTTATATTTGAAAGCACCTAAATACCACATTAAAAGACAAAGAGATGTGCTTATAATCAAATTAAATTAACTTGTAGGATTAGTATGTGATTAGTAAAAGAAGAAGTTCAAGATGGTGATTAGATCCTGATATGCCGGCAAGGATTTAAGAAAATAATGTTTTGAAGTTTAGTGCAACACATGTCAAAGGGTGTAATGAGCTGCGTTCTAGCTTTTCGTTTTTGGTTCTTGTTGAATCCAGAATTGGGTTAAAATTCTGCTTCTCACATAAAGTGGATTGACAGGCCTCTTTGTACCACATCCTCCCACCAGAGAACTCATGCTGAGTCCAGGCTTATTTGTGGTTCTTAGAATGGAGACAGACCTGCTCTCCTCTTAAGATGTTAAGATTAAACTTTCCTTTTTGACAAAACATACAGTTTGGGCTGGACTGGGTGACTCTGAACTATCCTTTAGAAATGTAGTCAGCTGGGAGAAATCCAGTGATGCACACACACAATATTTATTCTCCACTCTCCTCTTCCCTTTTATTTCTTTTCTTTTCCTTTCAGGTTCATATGTCACTACTGCATTTTATTGACTGTTGTCTATTCCAGCTTTTCCACAATCATTAGAGTGTTCAGTGAAAGCGAATATTACAGAAATTAATTAATTTGGTCTTAAATTTATACACAACATTTTTCTGTGCATCACGAGACGAACATTATTGGTCACAAACAAAATCCTTAATGCTTTCATCATCTACCCAATGACATGTTGTTCCACAGCTCAACCATAAATGCGCTGGACTGTACGCTTTAAAAAGAGCTACTTTGACATCTTGTGCTGATGCATGCAGTGCTACACAGCATTATCATCATCACAGAAATCATTCCTGGTAGAGTATCTTTCATAGTCACCGCATTTAGCAACTGCTCTCTGAAACAGAATGAGGGGAAAATTTTGAATCTGATCCTCATTGGTTGTCGTGAGCCAATTTAAGTATCGGGGTCAGCTCATGCAACCTGAGCTACTGCTGCAAATTGGCAACATAAAGATGCAGAACTAAGTCAACCAAGTCATGGAAGATTGATAAGGCCTTTACCGATCATACATCCTGTTTTCCTCTTGTTTACAAGGATTCAGGTACACAGTGAGAAGAACAGTTGCCAACATCCAACCATACTTTAATTGAACTGTGAACTATCACCATAGCACATTTCCTTTAAAACCAGTCTTGTGTAGCTCTCTTATTAAGACTATCGTCATAAAATAACTATGTAACAGATTAATGATAACAGGAGGATCAATAGGTGTTTCCTTGAACTACAAGTCAGAGAAGCTTTTGTAAACTATAGACTGACAACTAAGAATAAACTGAGCAAAGTCTACGTGCAGTACTGTCCTGTTCACAAGATAATCTATCTGGACAAACCAGAAATGCAAACAGTTCCAGTACTCTATGCTGATCATTTACAGCCGTGTCAAACATGATTCATGCAGTCAGAACTTTAAGTTATACAACTGATTTTAAAAATGGTACAACCTGTTCTCAATGCCCTCCAGAGCTGACCTATTCCTGGCGGTGTGTCAGGGAGGGCTAAAAATGTCTCATGATCCCAGCTGAGCACAAGCAAACCTGTGGCAATGCACTACCGTGGGACTTTCCCCTCGTGTTGGTCTTTTTAGTGACTCCACATGGTATCTTGAGTTTACAGACCAGAGTGAAGGACAAATACAGGTTAAAGAGGTTAAACAAAAACAACACAGCCCGTGAGGGCATCCAGGAGCAGCAAATACAAGAAACACCAGGGTGTCCAGATCCTCTTTTATTGTCATAGCGCCATGTTCTTCTGTAGTATTTAATGAGTTTTGGTTGCTTATTCACTTTATTAATCTTCTTTCGGTGTTTTTGTTTTCCTATTTGTCTCCAGTGTTTCTCAGACTTTGCCTCTGTCTGTCTTGTCTTTATTTTAGTGTCTTTGTACTCCTTATGTCCACTGTCTTTTTTATTTTGGTTAATACACTTCCCTCCATGTCTGCTGTGCCTTGAGTTCCCTCCTTTGTGATTGTTTTCCTCACCTCAATTTTCCCTTATCTGGATTCCCTGTTTGGTTTATGCCTATTGAACTTTACACATCTTTAGTTCTAGATCAGCTGAAAAAGGCTGGTTTTATTGTTGATAACATTGCCAGCGTGAGCTTACTGAACTTGGGTCATTTCTCCACTAACCAATAAAAGCATAAACCCAAAGCTTTTGTGCAAATAGATGCAAAATAATTACTTTAAGTTTTGAAAATGCCTCGTGGTGGTGGTTTGGGTCCCTGCCTACCATTCTCTCACTTCTTTAATTTGCAAAGGTGAACTTTGAAGGATGAGTGAGAACTGTCTGTTGAAATGGGTCAAAATCATCATGCTAGCTCTTCTTTTCATGCAGAAATCCTACAGTCTTTTTTAAAAAATGGATTTAAAACACTTATAATATCTCTGATTATATGACTTTTTAGTTGCACTTTTTAATATCAAACTATATCATTATGTCTATTTATAAAGATGGCCTAAGGCCTAAGAGGCCTAACTGGTTTTTGGTTTCCCATTTATATAATCCTAAAGATGTCCCTCCATCTAAGGATTTATTACAGAAGTACACTACTTCAGGTTTGTGTTATTCTTTAGGGTATGTTGTTATTAGACAGACTGAATGTTTTTCTCTATATGATGCATGTCAGTGAAATAGTTTAGGAAATCATATCTTTTCTGAATGCTGACTCTGTGCAGTGAAAGAGCCTGGCATGGCTGCAGAGCTCCCATCCAGACCAGACACTCTAAAGATAAATGGGGAATGTGGGGCAAAGGTATCTGGTTCATGAATCGATGCCTCCCCAAAGTCCAGCCTCTGACTCCCAACAAATGTACAACTTTAAACTGCTTTGATAAGATAACAGGAATAACAGGAATCAGCTTTGTTTGACTTCTCAAGTAAAAGGGTTTATACTGTTTGCAGGGGCACTGCTCGCATCCTTTTTTATGTCTATGTTTGACTGGCAGCATGGCCTAAGAACGTGGGTTCATCTGTCACTGAGGGACATTTCATGTTGAAATCCAATCCTGATTGATTTTCTCCACAGGCCACAGATGTTTGTCTGTGTTTTTGTTAGTATTTCTTCACAGGATCAAGTTTAGCAAACTGAAAAAAATCTGTTTTGATTTGAAGCGACACTCCGAAAAATGCATTTCGAAACACTATGATTTCAAAGGCTTTGCAGTAGCGTCTTTTATCCAACAATGTCTGAGTGAAATTTATTCTTAACTCTATGTAACAAAAAAAAAACAACAATAAAGTGTTTGGAAATAAAATTAACATAAAAAAAATGGTGGTAAAATAGACCTTGGGTCGAAAACACTCATGTCAAATTGTAACTTGAACTTCATATGGCCTCTTTGAGGCTATACTATTATGTATGTTTGACTTTACTAGAAGATTTAAATGCCTCATTAACTGTTTTACTGGCGATGATTTGAAATAGTTCAAATGATCAGTTTGATTGTTATAGACTCAACGACCACCATGTTACTTTCAATATTAAAACAAACAAAAAAACATTCACGCACTTAGATACGCCAGTTCAGCTGCTACTAGCAGAAACTCACAGAGGAAAGACGATTTAAGTGAGTTTAAATGTGGCATAGTTATTGGTTGGACAGGCTGATCTGAGTAGTTCAGAAACTGCTGATTTACTGGGATTTTCCCCAAAACAACCATCTGTAGGATTTTCAGAGGATGGTCTGAAAAAGAGAAAAGTGTGCAGCAGTTGTCTGGGTGAAAATTTCTTGTTGATGTCAGAGGTCAAAGAAAAATGATCCGACTGCTTCAAGCTGATTGGAAGCCAGATACTGGAAAAATGTTTCCTGGTCTTGTGAGTTCTGTAGGAAGGGTCAGCAATTAGTATAAAACAAAATGAATGCATCAATCCATCCTATATCAAGCTGCTGTGTGTGGGTTAATTGTGTGGGGGATATTTTCTTGGCACACTTTGGGTCCCAACTGCAGCAGCCTGCAGCCTACCTGAGTATTGCTGCCTGACCATGCCCGTCCCTTTATAACCACAGTGTACCCAGCTTCTGATGACTGCTTCCAGCAGGATAAAACACTATGTGTTATCCTGCTGGATAACACATAGTGTTTTCGATCCCCGGGCTCTCTGTCCTGGTCGTCGTGTCCTTGGGCAAGACACTTTACCCTACCGCCTACTGCTGTTGGCGATATGGCAGCCTCGCTTCTGTCAGTCTGCCCCAGGGCAGCTGTGGCTACAACTGTAGCTGCCTCCACCAGTGTGTGAATGTGAGAGTGAATGAATAGTGGCATTGTAAAGCGC